TCTCTACATCAATAATAGCCACCCGAAATGCAGTGCTTCTCAACTTTATCTTTTAAAACACTTACAAAATAAGCATTAATCGTTAGAAATACTTGCTCACATGCACACGATGATATCGTTCATACATTCGTTCGTCTTGATCGACGTATAAAGTCTCGACTCTTAAACGGCTCGTTATTTAATTCGAACTTGCGCAGTGATAAATGATTTAATTAAACAACTACTTACATAATAATTCTACTTGATGAAAGTATGTTGCGCACAACAAAAACATAAACGATCTCTGTTTTGCAATTTGTAACGTTCTCTATATGCGCGTCTATGCGTGTATACGTAGGTAGATTTATAAGATTTAACAATCGGATTCTAAATGTACATTAATATCTGGAATTCGTAATTTTGTTACTCGTTTGACTAAAAAATTATATCAGTACCTTGCAGCTTGAAATCTAGGCTATAAGTTTCAAGCATTTTCAAAGACGTAATCTCTAATATTAAGAGATTAGCAAACACAAAATCGCAGAATAGTTTCGTAAATATTTGCTTACTACTTGATTAGACGGGATGCAAACAGTGGTAACTGTAAAACGATACGCAATGATGTTTCCCCGTTTCCATGCTCATCGATAAAACATCAGATAAGATATAATAAAATCACTTTGCACTTTTAGCTATAGAAATGAATGAAAAAGTATTTTCATAATATATCTGCTAGTGATAACTTTATCCTCTACGGACAACTACATTTTCCCTTTCATACGTGTGAATGTGCCAGTGATTTAAATCAATTTCTAATAATAAGATATCTCAATGAAATTCACGATAAATACATTATTCCAGGTAAAAATAATATAAATTAACATACCTTCATACTAAGAACAAGTTAGACTTACCCAATACGATGAATGTCAACAAAGCCAACGGGATAGGAAGAATACGCGGCTCCATTGGGCCAGCGGGTGTCACAGACTCCGACGCGTACAAAAACCCAGTGTAGTTTCTTCACACGATTGCTGCACGAGCATATAATGTCCTGTCGAGCGAATACATGCCAATTTTTTTGACTCACCGTCGCGCATTAAACGACAGATTGAGTCTCGCATCCACAAACCTCATTTTTCCACAACACTATCGCGAATCCAACGGCAGAACATGGCTAAAAGACAACTACACACCTCCTCATTGTCTCGAGTCTACCGACGTTCTGACTAGCGCCGCCATTTCGTGGGCATCTCGCGATAACAGCGGCATCATTGAGACTTTACTGAATTAACAGGTGGTTTAAACAATCCTAAAAACCAGCTACGTTTTTTATTATTTCTGGGGATGGAAAATCTATACGTCTGTCTCTCTGTGGAGATGATTTTTAAATGTAATTTTACTTCTTCCAAAACATTCATCGTTATTACATATTATACATCTCATTTATAATTTCTTATTTGTCACGTAAATGAAATATTAAGTAATACGAAAAATATTGTATACACTTATTTTGTATTATAATTGTGTTACAAAAATGATATTGCTGCGTGATTTTACAATTGTTTACAATAAACTATTAATATACCTTCATTTTAATTCTTATGCGAAACACACATGTGAGGAGATCTAAGGATTATAAAATTCGATTGTGTGTATCTAGAGATAACCATGTTTATGGTGGCGGTATCAAGCGTCTTTCTGATTTGAGGTTATGTTTCTGTTGTATTTAAAAGAAATACGTAAATAAACGTTCATGTAGTCGTCAAATGCATGTATTTTTGCAATTTCATTGAGTTATTTTTGTAAGAAAGTTACGGTGAGTTATAAGGTTAAGAGAGAGATAGAAATTTATTTGTAATTCACGAATTTGTTAGTATTATATTTGTTACCACTCCAATTTGTCTGCAGTAAACTTATTATTTATATCATTTTTATAAAAACCTACATTTAAGGCTAGTTTACTATATTATATAAACTTAAATGTTATTAAGGGAGGATTTTTCAACTGAAACAATCTAATTCTTATCATAGATATTTTAAAATAAACAAAATGTCAGGCGGCATGCTTTATGGAGGAGATGAAATTGGAGCCTTAGTATTTGACTTGGGTCATCATTCTTTAAGAGTTGGTTATGCTCAAGAAGATACCCCTAAAGCTGAAATTCCAGCAGTTATAGGTGTAGGAGAAGATGGCAATTGTACAGCAACAAAAACAGAACCAATGGACATTGATGATAAAAAGCCAGACAACAATATTACACAATCTGGGACCAAGTATTATATTGATACTACTGTACTTCATGTTCCAAGAAGCAATATGGAAGTTGTAAGTTACATGAAAGATGGGATGATTGAGGATTGGGATCATTTTGAGAAGGTAATGTAGAAATATAATATTCTACAGTAAATTTCATTTTCATGTGTATAGAATATAGATATATCTGAGTATGTGTTTTAATAGGTTTTAGATTATACCTATTCCAAAGTAATTCAGTCAGATGCAGAATATCATCCAGTACTGTTTTCTGAATCTCCATGGAATGTACGCAGTAAAAGAGAAAAACTGACTGAACTAATGTTTGAGAAATATAATGTACCAGCCTATTTCCTTGTCAAAAATGCGGTTCTTGCTGCTTTTGCAAATGGTAGAGCAACTGGTATTGTAGTTGACAGTGGTGCAACACACACTTCTGCTGTACCAGTTCAAGACGGTTTTGTATTAACACAGGCAATAGTTAAATCTCCACTTGGAGGAGATTATATAAGTATGCAATGCAGACAATTTCTTCAGGTATAAATATGGTTGTAAATATTCTTTTATGATAGTGTAGAAGATGGATAACTATATTTTCAAAATAATAACAGGATAATGACATTGACTTGTCCCCTTCTTACATGGTGGGTAGCAAAGAAGTTGTTAAAGATCATGAAAAACCAAGATGGGTAAGAAAGAACGGATTACCTGATGTTACTAAATCTTGGCATAACTATATGGTAAAGAAACTTATACAGGACTTCCAAGCTACAGTGTTGCAAGTATCAGAAACTCCATATGATGAAAAAATTGTTTCCACAATTCCTGCAGTTCAATATGAATTTCCTGCTGGATATCATCAGGTAAAAATTAAGTAATATACAATTATCAAAAAAATTGAATAGTTAGATATTTAATAAAACAAAATAAAATTTCAAGGATTTTGGAAGTGAAAGATTTCGTATACCAGAAGCACTTTTTGACCCCAGCATGGTACAAATGCGTGGTGGTCTGGTTGGTAATACTATGTTAGGAGTAGGTCATATTGTTACAACTAGTGTAGGCATGTGTGATGTTGATGTAAGACCAGCACTTTATGGTAGTGTTGTTGTGACTGGTGGCAATTCATTCATTCAGGTATATATTAATAAAAAATGTTAATTTCATATCAACAATTTTTCATAATTTTTAACATTCATATAATATCATACAGGGCTTTCCGGAACGTTTAAACCGAGATCTTTCCATGAGAATTCCATCTAGTATGAGGTTGAAACTAATTAGTGTAAATGGATGTGCTGAACGACGATTCGGAGCTTGGATCGGTGGATCAATTTTGGCTTCAATTGGAACTTTCCAACAAATGTGGATATCAAGCCAAGAATATGAAGAAAGCGGCAAAAGCCAAGTAGAACGAAAATGTCCTTAAATAGAAACATAAGTTATTTCCATATGTCCTTTCTTAATAATATTATCAGTACTTGTACAAATATATTTCTGATAAATGTGTTAAGTAAATAACTATAAATTGATACATCTGATACAATTAAGTCTGATATGCAATCATGAAAGATTTGGATTTTTTTTTATAATATTCATTTAAGTGTGTTCTACATATTGACCTAAGACATGGATAAGTATGTTCTACTTATGTGTATTACTGAAATCTGTAAAATATGTAGTCAAACATGAAAATTTTATTTATTATTAATGCACAACATAGACGCAATAAAATGTTACAAAGAATGGTGTATAAAGAATTGTACTAAGATTTTTATAAAAACTTGCAGTAAAAGGCTGTGTCTTTGAAATCTTCATGATTACTGTTGTTCCTCCACATATGTTTCCTCTTGAAATTAACTTTAATTCTAGGGACAATTCTCCCTCATAGAATACTACAGTAAAATATAGCTTTCTTTTTAAAGTTCCTCCTTGTCATTATACTTAATATTCTATGGTAAAGATGTGCAAATAATATATGATCCAAGTATATAACTTCAAAGGAGACTAGACATATTCATTAAATGACTATTCCCGTATGGCTATATACTTCCTTTTATACGTTTTAGCAAAAAGTACTCCACAAAGCAAATATGTCATTATACTCTTAATAATTTAGGGCAACAATTAAACGTGTTAAACTTACAATGTTTCACTGTTTAAAAGTAGTTGTCCAGTAATGACGGAATGAGTCCTAAACATGGACAAAATCTAAATTGTGTGGAAACATAGTTTTTAAATGTGCAAATAAAATGTGTTTATTATTATAAATCAAATATCTGAATAGATAGCCAAATACAATGAATATTAGAGATTATGTTTTCATAAATCAACTAGTTCTTAAATTTGTTGGACTTTATCCAATAAGTATTGTGAGATATGTTATATGTATTAGTTGTATTATGCTTATTATTATACCACAAATAACAATGATTTATACAAATTGGAATGATTTAAACATTGTTATGGAAATAGGGTTTGCATATTTCTAAAAATGAAGTAATCAACATTTCTTGTAAATAAAATATTTATTAGATCCTTCTTTTTATTGTTCGTAGCTCAACTTTACTAACAATTTCGCTTGCTATGTTAAAATCAGCAATTTGGATGTTCAATAGAAAGAATTTAGAGCTTTTTATTGAATTCATGTTAACAGATTACTGGAAAATAATTGAAGCTAATGTTTTTGAATACTTAAAAAAATATGCATTGTATATAATTATTAATATTTAAAACTAAATTATTTGTCTTATAAATGTATTTTCCATATAAATAATATATATCCTTTCAGATATGCTAAAACCATTACCAAAGGATATCTCATTTCTATGTGTAACGCCTTATTATTTTTCTTTAGTTTACCTATTATCGAAATATTAATTACAAAGCATGAAGATTCAGATAATTTTACTATGAACTTTCCATTTGCTGCATCATATCCTGTGGCTTTTTATAAATTTCCCTTGTATGAGGTACCATTACATTTCACTTGCGTTACAAACACGATTTAATTGTAGTTACTAGTTTATAAATATAATTTCATATATAGATTGCATATGCATCTCAAATATTGGCAACAAGTATTTGTTGTTTGGTCATGCTTGCAACTGATGGTTTAATTGCAACTGCTCTACTTCATACATGCGGACATTTTGCGGTACTTAGAAAAAATGTGAAACAACTTGATTCATACATCTATCGTGTATGTATTGTATTCTACTATATATATGTATATAATTGTAATGTTATTTATTTTAAAATAATCCAATTATTGCAGATAACTCGTTTAAAGACTAATTCAAAACACATAAATGCAAATTTATACGAAATCAAAATTCAAATAATACATGTAATCAAACATCATCAAGTAGTGCTTTGGTAAATAGATTTCATGTGCTTCCAAAAATTTTATTATTTCTTATTCACTTTAATATAATTCAGGTTTTGCGACAATATGGAAAAAAATTTCCATCTAATACTCTTTTTACAAGCAATGATCAGTAGTCTCCTAATTTGTTTCGTCGGATTTCAGGTTTCTGCAGTACGCATATTTACAGATTTAAAAATTGTAATAAATCATAAGCAACTTATTATATGTTATTTAATACATATTTTTGCATTACAGACGTTAATGGAACAGTCTAAAATGATTAAGTTTGCTTCTCATTTAATCGTGGCATTTTTTCAATTATTACTTTTCTGTTTTCCTGGAGACATGTTAATACAAGAGGTGGATGATATTATATAATTACATATGTATAAGAATAGATGTACTTAATTTTAAGTGTAAAAGAGTTTCAGTATAAGCACAGCTGTATATTCCATACAATGGTCTCAATTAGCAACTTTTATTAAAGATGAATTGTGTATGATCATTGTGCGTTCTCAAAGACCTAGTTATATTACAGCAGGAAAATTATACATAATGCATTTGGAAAATTTTACAGCGGTAAAAGTTTCATCACATATTTATCTAAAAAAATATGTAAAATTTTCGTTAGCATAATATTACCGAGATAATAACAATTATTTGACCATTTACATATATTTACAGATACTCAGTACTGCATTTTCATATTTTATGATGCTTCAGAGCTTTAATTCAGAATCTTAGTCTAGGAACTGGTTTGTATAGTTTCAATTTACTAATAATCAGTTGATGTATAAACATTAAATTATTAAATACTTAATAAATCGTAATATTCTTTACATGTATGCGCCCCATCCAAAGTACATTTGACAAAGATTATCTACATTAGTTGCTTCTAAAATCAACTGATTAGTTTGTCCCTCAACACTAAGATTTAAAGCAATATTCTCTAATTTTTTTCCATGATACCGAATTAAACCTTTGAGTCGTTGTTCTATATTTTTTATATGTTCCACAGCCTAAAATTTCAATTATGTATTTTATGTTCCATTTATATTAACAATTTATTGCATTATAATATATTATATTATGGCTTACTTTTTCATTTGTTTTCTCACCACCTTCACTAATATGATTCTTATTCCAGCTTACAAGTGGGTCATATACAAATGGTGTTAATACACTTAATAATGTGCTACTTTGTTGTCGGAGAACCCTCATAGTTATTTCACAAGCGCGCCTAAACGGTCCCTCAATTTTTAATGGTCCCATAGCATCTACCATATTATGCGTTAAACGAAATGGTACACGTTCTGGCCACTCAAACAATTCTCCCTGATAATTGAAATATTTTTGAATTATTACAATAATTATTGTATATAAACTACTTAGTCATGTTTTGCCTTACTAGATATTAAAACAAAGAATAAATGTGAAGCATTTAAATTGTATTGAGGTTTTAATTTATGAATAAATCTCTTACATACCCTATTAAACAAACAATTAAAATCTACGTGTACACAATCTCCACATTTAGAATCAAATAATATATTTTCTCCATGACGATCTCCAAGGCCAAGAATATATCCCACCATAGACATTACTGCTGTAGTTCTAATATAGGCAGTACGTGCTTCATACCTATTATACATATATGTTTATTATTTTTTTACGTTTAAATAATATATGTTTGCTTTATCTACAGAAATAATTGTGAAACGCACCACCCATATGGATCAGGGAATGTAAGACGAAACCAATCTCCGAGTACTGATGGATGACGCGGAAGAAGTTGTTGTAGAAACACCTTCTTTTTCTTCTCCAATGGATCTTTTAACGCTACAATGCAATGTTCAAGTAAGAATTTTCGTACTTATCAACAATTTTTTTTTACAATATAGTATTTCTACTTACAGCATAATATGCTTCTAAGTTCTCTATTCGAAATTGCAATACCTCTTTCTTTATACAAACTTATAATAATGGGTCTAAACCCAACTAAATTCGGTACCCATTCTACTAAACCGCATTCTTCATTCAGAGGTACAACGCTCTGTAATTTAAACTTACACTTAATTTAAACTCTGTAATTAAAATTTAAGCTCCTAACAGTACATTTAAAGTTATTATGTATTTACATATGTCCGTATATACAATCTTCTTTGTCGAGATTCTGGATCATTTTGAAGATATTTATTTACAATATCATTGAATTCCATTAATCTGAAGTCTCTTCGTAAATCATCTTTTGGCTTACACATAAATAGATAATCTTTACCATCCGACCCTTTTAACGTAATACGCCGCGGTCTTTGAAGAGATGGCATAACAGCTACATTATCTTCTATTCCGGATATATGAATCCAATTTCTAAAATTTACAAAAGGTTATAAACTTTTTATGATATACAGTGATATAAAAAAAATGTCATACATACGAAGAAAAGGCATTATAATTTTCTAACGACATGCCCTTAGACGGCAGATGCAGTTGTCTAAATTTGGTCGTTGGTATCATTATTGGACTAAATTCCTTGCTTGAAAGTAAACGGGGAAGATTCCGTGACAAGAGATTTATCGTCGTATTCATAACACCCTGTTAAAGAATCATAAATGTATAAAAGTTTATATAAATTAGTATTTTAACTTACTTCTGGTATTGCTTTATTTGATAATTCAATTAATCGCTCCCATAATTTATGAAAATCTGTAATAAGTTTGGTCATTTCTGGCGTTTTAAGTTTAGGATGACTAAGAATTTCTTGGCAACGTCTTTGTCGTGCAGGATATGAAGACTGTAAAGAATATTCTATTAAAATTTTCTTTAATTATTAATAGATAAAAAACTTACATTAATAACTGATGCCATCATCCATAAACTATGTTGGGGATAAGCATGAATTAGTTTTACTAATATGGTACAGATAGTCTTTTGCACCTCAAGAGAAGGATGACATATTCGTGATACAAGTTGGCTAAATGCAGTTAGCCACATGAATATTGGTAGTCTTTCATGATACACTTCTATACCATAGGAAAGAAATCATCATTTAGTTTTATTTTAATTCAATAGTTGGAATTATTATACTCACCCATGATTTTTGACATTTTTAATAATGCGTCTCGTCGAAATTTTTCTTGTTCCCCATCATTAAGACTGTCAGATCGTGATGTTGCACGCGAAGCGAAATCTAACCATATAGTCAACATTCTCGGCATAGATTGATGAATGTACTTACAACCATATTGAAGTGACTTCCCATAATAATTCATGGTATGCACTTGTAAATCTCTAAACATATTGTTAATTATCTTACCCATTAGAAATAATGTATTGTTTTGTACTTACCGTCCCATTGAATCTTTCTCTTCATCAGACATTCTATCTATAACAGATTCATAGTACTGTGCACAAAACAGTAAACTTTTTTCCCATTCTCTCCAAACTTCAATAGCTTCTTTGTAATTTATAATATTAGCATCGGTATCTACATTAACTGTTTCATCATTATATTTTGCATATAAAAGTTTTGCCTATACAATAAATGAATATTGGTATTATTGGCTAAAGGTGGGATTTCCTATGTGCGTACAACGCGCGCGGTTGCATCGGACATAATCCTAAAGGCGAATAACACGATATCGCTACAAACACAAAAGCATGCTTCTTTATTGAGAGTTTAAGATTATGTCTTAAGATACAGATGCGTGCGTTGATTGGACACACGTAGGAAATCCCACCCTAATATTACACTATACCAATATTATACTTCTTTTGTATAAACAAACCTTTGCACATTGTTTCCTTTCTTCTAAAGATTCGCCTGTTGGCAAATTTTTGTAGTGCATAGCTGGACGAAAACAACTGGAGAAACAACGTTTTAGGGTTATAAAAGCGTCTTCTTGACAGCCCTTTTGCCAATATAATTGTGCTTGTTCTATATAAAGTTGTTGTGGAGGACAAGAATCACTGGCAGACAAAATATACATATATGCTTGTTGATGTAATCCACTCCTGAAAGAAATGAGTAACAAAGCAAGATGATAAATATTATATATGTAGTTATAAATAATGGCACTTACTTTCTCGCAATCTTCGCACTCTTAAGCCAAATCTTGCCAATTTCTTGTTTTAATACAGAATTTTCTTTGTTTTCAATTTCTCTCTGTAATTGAAGTGCCAAATCTAGTGTAGCTCTACGCATACTCAACACAAATTCTACTCCTCGTGAAGCGCGGACAAGTCGACCACGTTTCTCCCATTCTTCGAATATCATTGGTAATTTTCCCATATCAGTCAGCATAGTAGCAACTGCTTTATCAAATTCATTTAATATATGTAACCTATCCATCATAATAAGTACAGTAAAAAATAATTAGTTCAGTAAGACAGTAAGTAAGATACAATAAACGGTTTTTTAGCATGAGATATAGTTTTAAATATTAATCTTACTTCATAATGTAAGAATAGCTTTGTTGATAAGCTCCTGGCCGTGATGCATCTTCTAACAATGATACCAGATTCTTTTTTAAGGATGATAAATCTGGTTTAATACCTTTCTTAAGATCTTCAAGTAGTATATGTTTTATATTTTTTTGGGAAGTGTCATCAAATCTTATGAAATGAGCTAATCTCCAAAACGGCTCGTGTTCAATCATTAATGGCTCTAACTCTGATCTGTTACTTAAGACTCCTTCAGTGATATGTTTTGCTGTAAAAGGTTGATCGAGACCAAGATAACACTGGATCATTCCTTGTAAATATGTATGCTTCAAAGTTTTTTTCTGTGCCAATCTTTCATAACAGGTAGCAGCATCCTATATATTTCATGAACATTTCGAATATATGAATATATATTGATATTTAAATAAATAAATTTTATTATACCTGAAGTTGCCCATTGACTTCATGAGCTAAAACTAGTTGTTGAACTGTAGGAGTATGATCCTGTGTAGCTAATATGCCAGATATGCCATCTGGTTCATCCAGTTGTGCATATATTTTCTACATATACACAAAAAAGAAGATATAGCTAATAAACGGACTATTTTTAACCTTATATTGATACTTACAGCAAGTAATCCACCCTCCAATGCTTCTGATAATCCCTTATTAGAAGAAGCCATGTGTTGTTCTAAATACATTAGTGCTCTATGATATTCCTGAAATTGATAACATCCTTCTGCCACTACTAATGCATTTAATGTTTCACAAAAGTCTAGATTCAACAATAAAATATATATTCATTAATAATTATTATATTTTATTGTTAACAATTTAAATATAAAGGACTCACTCTTTAAAGCTTCATACTTGTGATTTCGAACCAATCGTTGTTCCCAAAGCCATCTTTGCAAATGATCTAATACTGAAAATATGATCTATTCGAAAATTATAAAAAAGATTATTAATTGAGCAGTAAAAATATCATTTTTTATATACATACCTGTGCACAACGTGTACGCCTAGTTTCTTCGGAAATTCTGGCATCATCTGCTTTTATTCTATGTCCATGTCTAAGAGGTCTATGACGTGATAGTTCAGGATCAAGTGTAGGTTTTTTTCTAACATCGATAATTGTTAATATTTCTTCTCGTATTTTTGCGTGCTCTTGTGTAGTACTATTTGTTATTATATACGCTGATGAGTAAAATATAATGTATGTTTAGATTATAGTTAATGACTCATACTGCGAAAATAATATTAATAAAAATGCTTACCAACAACATGGGGTAAACAAAATGTTAATATTTTTATATCACGCTTGAGTGCTAATTTACATGCTCGTAATACATTATTAAGAGATTCATCGTGGATATTACTAAACATATTACAAAACCAATTATATGCCCAGTTTTCTACAGAGGAACCAGCTTCAGAACTGTTTGAAAAATAAGTTAATTGAATATAATGAATAATAATTCAATATTATAGCCCTTTTTTTATTAAATATTTACCCATAAATAGGATGAGGAAACGTTTTGTCATCACTGATAGTTGCAATCTTGTAATGTGAAGTTAAAAATGGGGTAATGATCTGTTTCATAGTCACTGGTAAACTATTCCATAGTTCACTGTTTTTCCCTTGGGGCGAAATATCATATGTTCTTAAAATTTCCTAAAATTATTTACATTTGTAAAATATAAATGTATCTGTCATAGAGAAGGCCATAAGATAATGTATTACTTACTTGAATAGCAAGTGAGAAACAATCCATACTCTGACTACTTTTCTGCATTTGAAACGCCCGAACATGCTCAAAAAGTATAGCACAAGCAAATTCTTCATTCATATCAGAAATAAATTTACTGTCAACTAAGATGTAAAAGAAATTAATATAAAAACTAAATAAATAACAAACTAATGTACAGTATACCTCTAGAAATAATTCTACGAGGGAGAAGACTTGGTTCAATAGCTCCTAATTCTCCTAAACATTCGCCATATAATAGACGGATAGATTCATCTTTATGTTGACATCCGATTAATAATGTGTATAATAACTAAAAAGTTATTTATATCATAATAGTTACTATATATCATTAACATATTTTTTATTTTAAGTAACAAACCCACATCAACAATCAATGGATGGATATTTGTTTCACTCAAAATCATTTCATTCAGTTGACTACGATTTTCAGCTAAAAATTTTTGTAAATACATCAAAGCTCTGATTATTACTTCGTCCGTTTCATGCGTAATTCGTTTAAGCCATAATTTTAAATTCTCTTCAAATCCTTTAGGCCTAAAATTTATACAAACGTTAATACAGTAAACTATTTAAGTATTTAATATTTGGAAAAAAATATATTTTATATACCTAGTTTGTAAAATTCGTGCTTTAATTATGTTTGACATTTCAACAGGTACTTCAATATCATCTATAAAAAACAATTCTGCAATATGTTCTGGACATTCTTCATTACATTTAATAAGTAGGAACATTAGCATTGTAATTATTTTTTCTCGATACATATTTAATAACGATATTAATGAAACATATATCGTTGGTAACAATGGACCAAGTTCTTTAATAGCTATACTGAAAAATTAATAGACAATTCATTATTCGTTATTTGCGAACATAATGATTTTTATTACATACTTATGAATAAATGCATTCCATGCATCACAAACAAGAGGTCTAAATCCTGGTCTTTTAAATCCTAGCGAAGTTCGTAGTGTCGCCAAAATCTTATACCTCAGCGGTGTCAAATATTGTGCACCCATATACTCCATTAGTGCAGCTAATGAAGCAAGTGCTGACTGCTGTGTATGTTCGTCCGATTTTAATCCAAGCTTTATATCAAAATTAACTAATATGCCGTGTAAACGTAAATTCAAATAAGATTCCTGTAAATATTGCACATGTATATTTGACTCTTTCTTGTAAAAAGATACAATTAAAGATATGAACTTACAATTCCTTTATGTGTAACGTAATTTTTATCTGCATTACTATCATAATCAGATATAATTTTTAATAATCCAACTATTTTCTTAGGAGACTCATGAAAGTTTAATATTAGTTCTTCAAATATGCCCTATTAATCACATTTATTGAAATTATTAAAATTGAGTATTGATAATGTAGTCCAGTTTGTGTATTATTTACATTACCATAAATGATTGTCTTGTTAAAAGTGATAAATTCGTCTGCGTAATTTTCGAAACTAATCTTAAACATTCCGTAGCAGTAGCAAGAGGCATATTCAGAAATGCATAACTGCAAATGTACTAAACAAATATTTAAATTAAAGTGATAATTAACAACAGCAAAATAAATACATTTCCTTATTAATATACATACAGGAAAATATTCTTTTAACATTTGTTTCTCATCCATACTGGTTAATTCAGCTATGTCATGCAAAAGAGTTCTTGCATTTGGCACATCAATAATAAAAGGAAGTAAAAAACAAACTGCGTAATGTCCATCTTTGCATAGTAACTGGCGTGATCCTTCGTAACCAATACATTTTGCAACACGGTGTATAGATGTAGCCATATTGTAAGAATAATGCATAAAGTTATGAACTGCACATTGTATTATGAGCTAAAATGGAAAAATATACTATTGTCTGATAAAATATAATTTTATACCTCTAATTTTAACAAAATTTATATACCTTGAGAAAATCTTTTTTATATCTAATGTATAAAACTTTTGGAGAAACGTTTAAGAATTTAGCAATATCATGATATGCGGTAGTTGCAAAAGCTACTGCTGCTGAAGATGATGTTGAGTGCAATATAGTAATTAAAAATATATTCAAAATTTGCCTTTCAATTATATACAATGGAACACTAAAATTGAAAATGGTTAGGAAATTATATATATTAAACAAAATAAATATTTTTAAATATTTACTATACCATCCACAATTTCTTGCAGTAATAAGTAAAGTATCATGCAACTCATGGTTTGCATCTGTTAAAGCTTTCATAAGTGCTCGTACTATGGTATTTATAAGTGATCCAACAAATTCGTCTAAACAAACAGGTACATCATCTTCAATAGTCATAGTAAATTTTGACACGATGCCTATTTTATTCAATAATAGTCTTTTTATTGCTGTAGCAATATTGAAACGGATAGCAGGATTTTCATCTTCTATATATAAAAACCACATTTTTGCTACTTTGTTATTGTTAAAGGACATAATGTGATTTGAAAAAGAAAGAATATTTTCAGAGATTTTCAAACGTACTGAAACAAAATTTGAAGATAATAAACTAAAATATGGACGAAGAAGATGATCGTATTCTTCCAAGATATAAGCATTAGAATTTATATTGTTTTCAGATATATCATTACAATATTTGCACTTTAATGTCCATGTTGTATTATCAGATCCTCTGTGAACAAAAATATTTTATCAAACATTTCATTGATTAATGAATAAATTATATAACAAATTACCTTTTGAAACTTCCACATTTTGACAAATAACAGCATATTTTACTCAATGTAATTACAAGCATTTCATGCACTTTCTGTTCTTTTGAATGTAATGCAGGTTGAAGAACATATCTTGAAATACTTCCCAATTGTACTCCTTCGCTCTTTAAAAGTAGTACACTATTCCTATCAATATTTACATGGTTTAACATATCTATTTCATTACTTTTATGATTTCAGACATGAATTACTTACAATACTGCTCCTGCTGCTATCTCAGTTTGGTAACCTACTATACATGTATTTAATAGCTTTAATCGTTCCATTCCAGTACCATGTTCACATAAAGCTTCGAGACATTTTAACATTGTATTAGTATTAAGAGATTTAGCAATTTCTTTTGCATGATTATTGAGTATATCCACAGGAATTTCAATATTTTGTATAAATGGTAATGTTAATATTTTCTGAATTAAATCTTTATCTGATTCATTATGTGCTATCATATATATTAGACATTCGAAAATAATATCTTTTTGCTGATGTAGCCCAGAATTTAGATTTTTTAATAATACCTTCAAAACATAATTTAACTCATGTGTATACAAATTTGTTGTTAACTGTAGTTCTTTCAACCATGATTGTAAAATATGTGAGGCTTTTAAGATATACATGGATGTTTTAAACCTTTCCTTTTGTGTTGCAGTTATTAACTCTTTTTTTAATAAATTCCATGAATTACATATATTATTCACTGAAGCATTTGCACTAACTGTGTGTTTGATATCAATAAGTACACAATGAATAAAAATTATAATAAAATCCTGAAATGATTTTTTTGCATTAAAATACTATAGTAGTTTATGCATTGAATATACCATCACATAATTTTGATTGTTACAAACCGGACAATATTCAAAATATGAAATAAATTTTTCTGTTTCAGAAAGACTACAAATCCTTGGTCTCATGATAAAATATTGCTGAATCTTGCTACACGCTACTTTTTGTATTTCTTCTACAGCATTAAGATTAGTATCTCGACCTAAACATGAATCTTTAATTTATAACATATTACAAAGAGAGGGCCAAAAATATTTATACATAATTAACTCACATTTCATTTCATTAACTGTAAAATCAATGATTTGAAAGCAGAGTTCAATGCTGTTTGAAGATATTGATAAAGACCGAATAAGTTCAATAGATGCCCATAAAAATTTATTCAATTGGTTCTCTGATACTTCATATAAGTTTAACCACGTAGGAAGTAACTTAATAATCTCAATAACATAGAGTATCAAATTTTCATGTTCCTTAAAATGTTTAACTCCAAATTATTGATATATATATATATATCTTAACTTACTACACAATATACTTGCCTGTTTACTAAGTAATGAAAATTTCATTAATTTTATACAAAGATTTAATGCTATAAATTTTACATTTGGAACAGATATCATGATTATATTTAATACTTTTTCAAAGAGTATTTTATGATTCCAAACAGAAACTCCTGTCCTTTCTATAATCTAAAAAAATATAACAATCTTTATAACAATATAAAATACATTAATGAAAATTAAATAAAAATGTGTTACTTTAATTATAGATGTTTGCACTTGTGGTATATCACAGTATTTTATTGTAACAGGAAATGCTTGTAAATCCAAATTTTTTATAATATCTTTTTCTGTATGAAATTTGTTCAATACAATTGTATCTTCTTCTCCACTGATTTTGTAAAATTCTGATATTTCTGAAATTAATGATATTATTAGGTGTTGCACATATGATACCATTTTTAATACATACCTTGAAGAATGTTTATATATTCATTACTAATCGTTTCAAACATTGTAATATGATGTCTAGATAATATTCTAAGCATACAAGCTTGTATCTCTATGCTGTTGCTAAGAACTTCATTACTTAAAGGATTTCCAACTAGGTGAAACATAACACCAAACAACCAGGTGGTAAATGCTATAATTAAAGGTATGTTACTTCACTGTATTTTGTCAATGTATCCTTATTATTATTTATTAGTCATAATTGTTATACCAGTATATTGACATTTTAGCGTTTCATTTTGCATTCCATTGCTGAAAGGTGGAATTAAAACTGTTGTCAGAGTAGCTGAACTTTTAATTATTGACTCCAATAAAGAACAAAGCATTTGTTTGGCAGTTGCATTTTTTAAATCAGAAAATATTGCAATTATAGGACTATTAATGAATTTCCATACCGAATCTGCCACTGTCACATTACTAGAAAAATCATTTTTTCATTATTATCTAAAATAAAAAATTTTATATACTTTAAAAATGTTAACACAATACTTTACCTGGTACTAGTTTGAAGAATAATTGAGTTATCATGTACTTCCATATTATTAATCCACGTTATTAATTTTCTTAGATCGTACGCAATATATAAAAGTAAGTATTACATTATAACAAAATCAAATAATTATCAAACATTGCGCTAACCGGTAGACATTGCTTTAAAATATTAAATGTGTTCGTTCATTAAAGGCATGTTTTCAAACAAAAATTTGGTGTTTTGATTCAGCGGTAAAATTAGACTTTTGAATTGGTATCGTTCGAATCGTTTTCATGAAAATTTGACATTAGTGTTTATGCCAACCAAGTTTTAGGATTATGTGTTTTCATCAATATTCTGTTTTTGTCATAAAATATTAATTCCTTCTTAAAAAATATATACAACAAAATAATACGGATCCGAATTTATTATAGTGCTTTCTTCATGTTTCATTGTTATAAACATACTAATATTTGCATCGTTTAACCTAATAAACTGTTATTACACACATTCTTTCGTTACGTCCTTTAAAAATATATTTAAAAATAATTATAGTAAGTATAATATCTCATAATCATTAAATTTATGTCTTCTATAAAGTAATAGTATATTTCATGTAACTTGACAGGTGTTAATGAAATTATAACTTTAAGTTTAATAAAATCAGTCATGTGTCTTGTTTAAAATAAGTAACATATTAAAACGAAGTGAAAACATTTATTATTAAAAAATGAGTGAAAGTGCACTAATTAATGATGTGCCTGAAAGTAATGGTGGATCAGAACAACCCGTTTACAATGGAGAAACTGAGGAACATACGAGTATATTTAGACTGATAATCTATTCATTTAAAATAAAAGAACATTTCTTTATATTATTATTTAATTGTAACAATTTATTTGTTAGACAAATCACCTGGAAGCGGAGAAGATAAAACACCTGATTCGATATGTGATAATGGAGTTAAAAAAAATAATACAGCTTCTGCTGTTGCAAGTAATACTACCAATACAACTAATAGAGCTAAAAAGAGGAAGAAAATTCCAAGAGATGCCACTGCCCCTAAGCAACCTTTAACTGGTTATTTCAGGTATAGTTCTTTTGGGTATTCTTTCAGTGTTTTTTCAGTATTCAAAAATGTATAATAAAAATGAAAAATATATTTAATTATAACAGATTTTTAAATGATCGACGAGAAAAAGTAAGGACTGAAAACCCTACTCTATCATTTGCTGAAATCACAAAACTTCTTGCTTCAGAGTGGAGTACTCTACCTGCTGATCAAAAACAGCAATATTTAGATGCAGCAGAGCAGGATAAAGAACGATATAATCGTGAATTTAGTGATTATAAACAGACAGAAGCGTACCGATTATTCAGCGAAAAACAATCTTCAGAAAAACAAGAAAATAAAAAGGAAAGAAATGGAACTGATGTAAATTCAGAGCAAAATGTATGATATTTTTGTCTGAATTATCAACTATGTCTCAATTTACCATATCAATGTTAACATTTAATCTTTTATTAGGATATTCAACAAGATAAAGATAATGACTTCACAGGTTTTGATATACCTATTTTTACAGAGGAATTTTTGGATCATAATAAAGGTACATGATAAATATTTTGATATTTACTCTTCATATGCAAAATAATTAACTTAAAATCGTCATAGATGTTTTAGAAGTATTATAAGTACATAGAAATTTTATTTACATAACTTTTATATGTGTAGCATGTGAAGCTGAATTAAGACAATTAAGGAAAGCTACATCAGATTATGAAGCTCAGAATGCGGTGCTGCAACGACACGTAGACAGTTTGTATGCAGCTGTAAATCGTTTAGAATCTGAAACAAACCAACAACACACGACTAATCAAGCTTTACAGCGTCATTTGGATTCTCTTCGTTCACAATTAGCAAGTTGTTTTGCTTCAGTACCTCTACCAGGTTGAATTTGTATAATAATCTTCTCTACAGGATATGTTTCTCCATACATCTATTATTATGTATTTTTTACTATTAGGTACGAACGAAGGTGCAACATTACAAAATATTGATAATTACGTTGAAAGACTTGAATCGTTACTGACTGGCAATGTCGAACAATCTTTGCGAAACGCTGTACGTAACGCTGTATCTCGCCTTGAATTAATTGGATGACGATCGCCTCCCGGTAGTACAACTACTACATCAATAAAACACCATCGTTCAAGGCACTCACATCGAAAATAAAAAAAGTGATTGTGTTCTTTTCTACATACTTCGTAAAATATAATTTCCTTTTTTAATTGCGTATACTCTATATTATTCATCTATATCATAGATCTTGCGTATAGTTTAATAATAACGGTATATCTTTATATAACAATAATTTTCTATCCAATATGATTTTAAAATTATGCCTTATTTTTTAAATAAATATAATTTATGAGGTATAATTGCATAGAGTTATGTATACAGATGCAATTATTCGTTTGTGTAATTTACATGTACCTAATCAATTCGTAGCATAATAAGGAAGTATCATTATGATACTCTCAGACATTTATTAATAAATTTTTTAAACTTATCAGTGATTTGTCATATTGCTTTTCATAAGATTTCGAAGTTGATTCCAGCAGTATCTGAAAGTGAATCAAAATTCGTGTATAGTTTGCAAAATTAGTCATTTTTCATGGTTTTCTTACCTAAAAGATGCCGCATTTGGGCGTCGATGGATTTCCAAATCATTTAAAGTATATTCAAGTTCTGGTGATAAAAATTGTACCATTTCAGTCGATATTGGTAAAATCGAACGTAAAAGTTCGAAAGTATTATGCTGATTTATAATTAGTGACCTTTTAACAGAACTAGATATTATATTATAGAACTTATTCCTGGAATTTTTAATTCTATAAATTATTGTTTAGAAGCAAATATTAAATTAGTGAAAACCAATACTTACTGTAAAGAATTATTCTCTTTGTAATATCTATTTCTAATAATATTATTTATAAAGTCAATAGTCTGTTGTTTATGTGGATGATGGTCATGAACTTTTACATAGCATCCAATAATATATGATGTACAAATTACAATAATGGATTCTACTATATGACATGCATAATTTATTTCATCTTTAAGCAGATTTTGTAAAAGTATCATTACCTGTATTAAAGATATAATAAATGGTAATGGATCTATAATTATATAAAAAATAAAATAATACATATAAATAATAATACATACTAAATAAAAATGTTTATGCATCATATTGTCATTCGAAACATTAAAAAAATTCGTCATCAAAATCTCAAGTATCAAGCGTATATAATCTGCTTTTGCATCTTTAAAGCATTTTAGTAATGAGTCAGATACTTTAAAAGTATTTGCATTAGTAGTTGGTATTATTAAAAATGGCATGTACTGATCAAAAAGATCTCGTATTAATACTTGAAGTGATATATCACTTTTAACATTAAGGGTTTCCATACCCAAAAGTATCATAGAAAACGTCTTCTTTCCCAAATTCTTTAAAAAATTATGTTCTACTGACAATATAGTTTTATTTAGTAATGTTCTGAATATGTTATTTGGTTGATTCTAAAAAGCAATTTAAATTACTATAATACACACATTCATTAATTACATAGAATAACTGCATATACTTACTTTAGAATATAACATAATAGAAGTACAGAGAATTAGTGTTCCAATGCACCTATATATCCATAAAGCCAATTCTGAATCTTTAGTTTCCTCCATAATAGGTAAAAGAATCCATTTTTCTAAATGATTGAAATACAATCTCCATTTTATATCGTACTGGATTCGTTCCTGTTCAGTCTAAAAAACATTAGTAATGAGCATCTCGAATTGCATTCTAATATATATATGAATAATTGTATAAATATATTACTTTCAAAGTGCTTCTTTTCTTCATTGAATGCATTATAAACATTAAAATAGACTCATCGTTATTTTGAAATTCTTGAATATCATTAGATGTTTCAAAAATCTTTTGTATGTCTTCCAATTGTAATATATAATTTTGTAAAACTTTTATTTCATTCCTGTTTGTATCATGACCAATGATGGAACATTTTATCCATGCCTAAAATTCGAATATAATGCAAAAATTGTATTATTCAAAAAATTTATTATTTAATAATCTTATTCACTAACTTGTATAATTATTGTATCAAAATTTTTTATTTCTTTCTTCAGATCTTGAATTGCTTGGTCTTGTTTAAGTATTAATGTCAAATAATGTCTTGTAATTCTGAAATGAGATTTTCATATAATATATTTTGATTATAATATAAATGTTCAATTCTATTACCTTATGTCTTTAACAATTACTGATGATGCAAAGTGCTGAAATAAAGTCGTAGCTGAATGCTTATACTTTTTTGCTGTTGCTGGATTTTTCAATGCTTCCAAAGTAAATAAAACAGCAAGTTTTGAAATATCTTCAAAGTGTACATTAGTAAGAGCAGGATCAAATACAAGTTGTCTAACTCTACTTGCAACATAACACCATAAAGCATCCAGCATCTGTTCTACATCACCTACATATAAATGAATTAAAAAACAGATAACAAATTACAATTTTTATATGATGAAAAAATAACGAACCTGTATTAGAAGTTTTAGCGAGGTAAATGCAGCTTTCGAAAACGTTAATTAACACTTTCATTAACGTTCCTACCATTTTATTTGAACATTCTAATAAATATCGATCTATCCATCCACTAAATAATAAATATTTTCCTAATCCAATGTTGGTGGATGACAAAATCGTACTAAATACATCAATGAAGTTATTCATCATTATACGAGATGTATCATCTTTGCGACAGCATATAATATTCACCTAAAAATTCAATTAAAATAAACAACATAAAATACTAAGTCTACTGAGACCAAGTTATTATACTGTACCGTATTTATATATAAAGATGCTATATTTGCCAAGTTCAGTTTAAGATCATTATATAAAAGAAGAACAGTCAGTTTTCCTTTCCAAATTAAATTATGTTTTTTACCATTCTCATTATTATATTCTTTTGATAACGGTAAAAGATCTAACATTACTGAACACTGTAAAAAGTTAATTATAAATCTGTTGTCTATTTTCACGAACATAACTTTTGGAAGAAGATTATAATAATTGTATTCAGAACTTACAACATTTGTAGTATCAGCAGTAACAGCTAATGTTAAGAATAATGAAAGAAAATTATATAAGCCAGTTGTTGAAAATTCTTCAACTTTACCCTTGGAAAATTTAGAATAAATGCGACCTTTAATTTGATTCCAATGTTTTGTATCGTTGTTATTATAATTTATACGTAAAAAGGATCCTACAACACGTAATTACGATAAAATTAACATATTTATTAATTCAATTAACTCATATAGAAACAAGACTTACCAAGTAAACGCAAGAACATTCCATAACTTGATTCCTTAATACATTCTGTGTTAGTAATTCTATCTTTTACTTGTTTAAGAAGATCCATAGTAGTTTTCCTAACAAAGAATTCTTTAAATTTATGATAAAAAATTATAAATACATAAAGTATTTACATACTTTTCAACTGACAATGTCCAAGGGCCAGATACTTGTAACAAAAATGGTTCGTCTAATCTTTTATGAAAGCAGTCCCAAAGAAGAGAAATAATTGAAACTTGAGGGTGCCACCAATTAGTAACAATAGTATTTAATAAAGGTATCATAATGCATAACTCTTCATCAATTTCATCTCGTTCACCATCTTTTCCACCTTTAGAAATATATGTTTTCAAAATTCTTTCTACTTGCTCGTAGTTAGGCCTGATCTTTAAAAAAATAAATAAATAGTTAACTTTGATGAATACATGGAGATTTGAAAAATAAAAAAATTAAAATATAATTACCCTTGAACATTTAGATCCTAAGTATATTCCATCACTATTGTATCCATATAAAAGTGAAAGATGATGAACAATCCATAAGCAGAATAGCTCAGAATTTTTGCAAAGTGTTAGAAAGTCTTTATTGTTATTAGATACATTTCTGTTCAATAATCTATTGATGCATTCATTAATATACTCCCAAAAAGACTATAAATATAAAAACAAGCAATATAAAAACAAATAAATATAAAAACATCCATAAAAAATTATATATGCAATACCTTTGATTTCATTCTATCTGATAAACTATCAATAAATATCTGAAGCATAAGCCATAATTCACGAATACAAGTACAATTATATGGAGTTTTCTGTTGCACTTGTGTCAAAGGCATCTAGAATGTATTGCAAAGAAAACACAGATGTAAAAGGTATATTCAAATATTTAATCATAATATTTTATAAAAAAAACAGTATACTTTTACCGTCTCAAATATTTTTAATGAAATATAAATTAGATCATTAATAATCATTGCTTGAACATTTTCAAATTCATCCAAATGGTTTTCGATTGAATACTGGCTATATATATGTTTTGTATACATTAATGAGATAAAGAACCACCTTAATTCAATGTGCATATGATACATATGATATTCTGGTTGTGTACACTATAATATGTGAAGCATAAAATTATGATATTAAATATCATTATATTTAAATACAATATTGTGTATATTATTCTTATCTACAAACCTGATTGCCTAATTTAGAGGGTGCATAATGGAATGTTGTATCAGGAATATTATGTATTCTTTCTAGGAAATGTTTTATTATAACGAATAATTCATTAAATTCTTCTTCAATATTTTCATTTATAACTTGCAATGATTGATAATTCCCTTTAATACTACAGATTTATATTCTTAGTATACATAACAAACAAACAAAAATAGCTTTACAGAATAAATTATCTTACCTATTTAGATATATTCGAATATATAGAATAAATTCTGATATTATACATCTTACATAATAAAAATCTATATCATCTGCCTTCGAACTTAAAACTTGATTATGAGTCTCATGCCTACTGAGTATTTTTAATTGCATACTGTTGAAACATAAATGGGATATCAATAAGTGTAATGAAATATCTTTATAATGAAATAGAATAATTCGTGCAATCATACAAAAATGCTTCTTACTTTATGCATTTGTTAAAATGTTTTAGATCTAACAATGCTGTTGTAAAAGGCACAGTATAATTAAAAAGTTGTATATTTTTTTCTGATGAGAGACATTCATCTTGTGGATACAAAACTTTCTCCACTTCTCCTCGTGAGAATAAACCATCTTTATCTAATTCCCAATCATTAAGATTCACTTTTCCATTACAGTTGAAAGTTAAACAAAAATCCATGTGTACAGTGTTATTGAAAAAGGTATAAATTATTCAATGCAAATGTGTGCACAAATTGAAACACATATTTTTATATTTAAATCTGAGATCTAATACATAAAATACAGAGTTACATTAAGAATATTATGCACAACTTTTGCAAATTTTCTCTGTCAGATCTCAACCACGAGCAGACGCTTTTTCCTAAGTTTTGGCGGCATTTGTAACAGTGCCACCTAGATATAAATCATATGATGACGCGCGTAACTTTGAAACAAATATTTGCAATGATCATTTTATAGTAAATTACAAATTTAAATAACAATGTTAAACTTTCAGTCAAGGCTCGCAATAAATCGTATAACGCTCTGTTTCTCAAGCTTTCAAAGTAAGTGAATAATTTTTTACAAATGGTTCTTCAAATTTGCTAATTAATTCGGGCGTTATGTTTTGCAATTTTGAAAGTGCCTTTATTAATCGATTCCTTAACACAATTTTACGAGCCACTTGAAGAAAAGGGAGAATTTTGTAATAGTGAAAAAATGGCTCTTCTTTCCGAGACGACGTTGGGATTGAGCTTGGATACTGAGAAAAAAGGTTTGTTATAAAGAGTTCTTTTTTTAAGATAAATAATTTATAATTAAGATATATGTGTACAGTTTGAGAAACCCTTAAAATTCTTTGCCTTCTCTTTTTAGTCTTTTTTTGTTCGAAGATACATTTTTCTGAGGTCATTATTAAATCTTTATAGTCATTCCAAGCTTGTTCTTGCTGTGTTTTAATTTCAACAATTTGATTTTTACTAGCATTGGATGTTCCATAATTTACTTTCACCTTATGATGATATTTCACTTGTTCATTTTCTTGATAGCGATTTTCTACTTTTACCAAAAATTCTTTCAGTTTTTGCACTTTTTGCTCCATAGTTTGAAATAAAAATACACCCAACGGTCCTGACAAATAAATAATTTACTTCTTATATATATTTTACATGTAAGCCTATATATATATATAATCTAACCCTTTAATTCATATTCGTTAAATAATTTTCGAATTTTCAAATTTAAAATACAGTTGACAGCGTGCAATGTGTAAAGGGGAAAATAACATTGTTTTAATAAAAGTTTTTCGGAACTTGTGAATTTCATAGTAGATTCTTTTAAATATTTCGGTTTATTTTTCTTTACGGAAATTGGTTTTGCTCCTTTGCAAAAAGTTGTGCTAATATTTTTCTGCTGTATTTTGTTTTCCATTTTTTCATCGATGGTCTCCAATTTTTCTCTAATCGTTCAGTAATGTTTTCAAATTATATTTATTTGTATTATTTTTCCTTTCTTAATAAGAAATTGTGTCTATAAGTATTCTCACCGTAAAAGACCTGGTCGAGTATAGGCATAGAAATTTATAATATGTGGACTTTTGCATAGATCAGATATGAATATTCGAATTTCAAAATTCATACTTATATATCTAAGAGGCCTATAAATAATCGCAATTATTGCAGGATTCTGCTTTGATTTTATGTGACCTAGAACATGAATAACACAATTTTATAATCTTAATCATTATTCTATGACATCCTATGTGTTATATAAGTAAATAGGTATACCCTACCCCAACGAGGATAAACGTCGACACACGATCCTCCGTTAAATGGTATAATAGTGAAAGAAAAATCTTTCTCTGCGTGGGAATGTATTGGTATTTTGTAGCAAACCCTTTAACAATAAATAATTAGATTCATGCTATATATCAAACAATGATCGAGGAAGTAGCTTACGTTCGACCAAGTGGTACATGTCCAAAATTCACAATAGTGGGAAAGGAAAATTTGGTCGTCATTTCCGCGTAGATTTTTATTTGCGTTGTTTGATCATTGTAATAAAGTATTTTTAAAGTGTCATTATAATCTCTATTTTCATCAGGTATAAATAAAATATTCATTTTGAAAACAGATCCAGGATTGAGCCATGTTCTCTATACAATATATACAATTTAATTTCATATAAAACATAAAAAATTAAAGAAAGAATTTCAATCCTTTTTATTCACCTGATAAATATCTTTAAACCTGAAATAATGAGTTTCCAATGGTAAAAATCGAATGGGACACGGTTTAACAAAAAAGTTCGTAATTTCTACTGTTTTCTCTTGAACTTTAAAATTTCCGAAATCAAAATTAAATTTCAATTTCGAAGGTACTACGCTTAATATACCATTATTTGATTCTTCTTCGAATTTATGTATATTTTTTTTTTTAGTTTTATCTATACAGTATTGTGTTTGGTCAAATATATCCATATCCATTTCAGCGTAGAAAACTGGTATTATAATAATATTATTTGACCAGAGAAATCTGTTATGTGAAATGCAACAGGAAACAGCTGAAAGATAAGCATATATTATTTCGTATAACTTGAGGTAAATAATTTAATTTTCGCGCGAGTGTGTCATTCATATTTCCATCTGTTTACAAAGCTTCTGATAATTTGACAGAACAAAGATAGAGTGCACTATGAGAAGATAGCTATAACTGTTTATATTTGAAGATAGAATTATTATGGATATTTTCGTAATTTTTTCATATACATGATACCGCTGTTTATTTGAAGAACAGTTGGTTCCACGATACGCTTATAATAAATTGTCGATTGCAAAAAGGAAGTAACATCTCTAACGATACTTGTGAAGTATGACTCACACTACTATGTCAGTTTTTTACAGTTCTACAACTATGTTTTTATAAATACTTCCGTGTTTGTATAAACTGAAACAATTTACTATATATAATCATGAACGTACAGGAATTGCGTGATGGGGTATGTCTTTCTCTATTCCTTTAAATAAATGCATTTTGCTAAACAGTTCTCGAATAGATAAATTGCAAAGTTGGAGGTTATACTCATGTGTCAAACATCCGATTTGTTTCTAAATCTTTGCAATATAATAATTTTGTTAGCATTTTATTTCTCCACATTATCACGTAACTCGAACTTTAGGAACTTTAAGTTAGTATAAATTTATCGCATCATTGCATATTATAAAATTTTTGTATAGTAATTACTTTCTGGTTATTCTTATATTTCTTATTAAGCTTTTTAGTTTCACCTATTTGTATTATTTTTTAGAATGTAAGGGTACTGATATTATATTCTACAAATATGGTTAAAGTTATAAAAGATATATGATTTAAATATGTTTTGGAATAAAATATTGGTATCTTTGCAGTCTCCTTTGTTACAAGCTATATTTTTTGGAGATGTAGACGAAGTTCGAGCATTGTTATCAAGAAAGGAAGATCCAAATTGGCAGGATAGGGAACAAAGATCTCTTTTGCATGCAGCTGCATATAGGGGAGATCCAGCGATTGTAGAAGCACTTTTGTTAAATGGAGCTGTAGTAAATGCTAAAGATAAGAAATGGTTAACTCCTTTGTATAGAGCTTGTTGCTCAGGGAATCCCAATGTAGTAGAAGTTTTATTAAGCCACAAGGCAGATGTTAATATCAGGGATCGTAGTTGGCAAACTCCTTTACATGTAGCAGCAGCAAATAATGCAGTTCAATGTGTTGAGCTGATAGTGCCACATTTAATGAACATTAACGTAGCAGACAGGTTTGTATTTTTAATATTCCCTGATTAATTTATTTGAGTAGAAATTAATCATGTACGCTATAAACATTTACAGAGGTGGTAGAACAAGTTTGCATCATGCAGCTTACAATGGACATTTGGAAATGACAGAATATTTGGCTCAAATTGGTTGTGTAATAAATGCTTCTGATAGGCAAGATCGCAGAGCCTTACATTTTGCAGCATACATGGGTCATGATGGAATAGTGAGGGCACTTATAGCAAAAGGAGCAGATGTAGATGTTAAAGTAATATAAATTTTTTAACATTTTTCATTCTTGTTATTTATGTTATAAAATGTTATTTATATCTACTTGTATATTGTGAAGGATCGAGATTTGTATACTCCGTTACATGCAGCTGCAGCATCTGGCAATGTAGAATGCATGCACACATTAATTAAGTCTGGGGCAGATATTGAAGCAAAAAATGTGTATGGAAATACTCCTTTACATATTGCATGTTTAAATGGTCATGCTGATGCAGTTACAGAATTAATTGCCAATGCAGCAAACGTTGGTGAGATGATCTTAAAATTTGTTGAAAAAATTTTGTTTGCAATTTTTATTGATGATTCTTGATGATAGATGATGATTCTTTTAATAGAAGCTGTAAATTATCGGGGACAAACGCCGTTACACGTTGCTGCTGCTAGCACTCATGGTGTTCACTGTTTAGAAGTACTTTTGAAAGCTGGTTTGAGAATAAATGTTCAATCAGAAGATGGGCGTACACCTCTACATATGACTGCAATCCATGGTAGATTTACTCGATCAAAAAGCTTACTTGATGTTGGAGCATTGCCAGACACTAAAGATAAAAATGGAAATACCGCTTTACACGTCGCCGCTTGGTATATTACAATAACAACTTTATTTTATTCAATGATCTTTTTTCAATATCTATCTGAATCCCAACTCATGTAGGTTTGGCCATGAATGTTTAACAACAACTTTATTGGAGTATGGTGCATCCCCAGCAGCACGCAATGCTGAACAGCGTACCGCATTGCATCTTAGTTGCTTGGCAGGTCATATCGAGGTAACGTGTTTATATATGTATATATTTACATTTATATATATATATTTATATATATATATATATATATATATATATTTATATATATTTATATTTATATTTATATTTATATTTATATTTATATATATATATGTATATATATACTAACATTTCTGTTAAATTAATTTTTTAATGACATTTACAGGTCTGTAGAAAACTATTACAAGTTGATAGCCGACGTATAGATTCAAGAGATATTCGTGGTAGAACACCACTACATTTAGCAGCATTCAAGGGATCTGTTGACTGTTTAGATTTATTGTTATCCAATGGAGCTAATTTTCGATTAACTGATAATTATAGCAGGTTAGCACTTCATCATGCTGCTAGTCAAGGTCATTATCTTTGTGTTTTTACTTTGGTTGGATTTGGAAGTGATTCTAATGCACAAGACGTAGACGGTGCAACTCCTTTGCATTTAGCTGCAGCATCAAATCCCAGAGATTCTGGTGCTCAGTAAGTATTAGATTATTTATGTGTAGTTTACTCTGTACAAGAATTTCTCTAAAAATTTAATTTATATTATCTCTACTTAGATGCGTACAGTATTTATTAAAGCACAGAGCAGATCCGCGTTTGTGCGATAAACGAGGCTTTACTGCTATTCATTACGCTGTAGCTGGAGGAAATCAGCCAGCTTTAGTAGCTTTATTAGAAGCTTGTCCACAAGGGAATCTAATAGCGTCATCTAATTCTACAGGAAAGTCAGAACCTCCATTACCTGCATTAACACCCTTACATCTTGCTGTAAGTCTAAAGAAATTAATAGTTCAGTAACTGAAGATATAATTATTTACATTTATAGGCATACCATGGACATATTGAAATTTTAAGCTTACTACTACCATTATTTCCCAATACTAACATTAAAGAAGATACTGGTAAAACGCCACTGGATCTAGCTGCCTATAAAGGACACCAAACATGCGTTCAACTTTTATGCGTGTTTTATGGAGCTTGCGTATGGGTCCAAGATTCTATTACAAGGCGTACTCCAGTACATTGCGCAGCAGCAGCAGGTCATGTTAATTGTCTAGAACTTCTATTGGAGAATGCAGGAGATTCAAATGTAGTTAATTGTTACGATATCAAGCAGCGAACTCCTTTAACACTAGCAGTGGCAAATAGCAATCCAGAATGCGCCCAGTTACTTTTAAAATACAAAGCTGATTGTAATTTACTAGACATAAACAAGCATACACCATTATTTCGAGCAGTGGTTAAGGAACGTGATCATCAGTTAGTGGAGCTATTATTATCACATGGTGCACAAGTAGCGATACAAGATACAAATGGTAAAACGCCATTACATTTAGCCGCCGCATGTGGAAGGTTGGTTCCTTTTATCTAATTAAAAGATTTGTCAGTATTTTTATATACTCAAAATTTATTTTTTTGTAGAGTAAAAGCATTGGCTTCTCTTGTCAAAGCTAATCCTGCTGCTGCCACTTTAAAAGATGATCAAGGATGTACAGTCCTTCATTGGGCCTGTTACAATGGAAACTCGAATTGTGTGGAATATCTGTTAGAACAAAATGTAATTGACTCATTAGAGGGTAGGTATTTTCTCGATGTTAGGTAAATGAGTATTCTTGGTTTTGAACCTAAATTATTTTGTTTTATAAACAGGCAGTCCATTTTCGGCTGTTCATTGTGCAGTTTATCAGGGATCAGCACATTGTTTAGAATTATTAATAAATAAATTTGGGGGAAAGACTGTCGCTGCTCCGAGAGATGTTCCAGGTGGTCGGTTGCCTTTGCATATTGCAGCTAGTTCAGGATCTGTAGAATGTGCAAAACTGATTTTAAGTTCTGTTGGACCTGAATTAGCTGGGCTCGAAACTCCAGATTATTCAGGTCGAACGCCACTACTTTGTGCTGCTATTACGGGTCAATGTGCTGCTATTGGTATATTTTATTTAATTATGTAAATATTTGGTACTTATTTGGTGTTTCTTCTTCCTGTTCATAATTATTTCTATTGATAGAGTTATTGCTTGAATGGAAAGCTGATGTGCGTGCTGTTGATTGTAACAAAAACACAGCTCTTCACTTAGCTTGTCAAAGACGACATTCTGTTGCTGCTTCACTCTTACTAAATTTGATCAATTCACTTAATGCTAATGGTGAAAATACATCACAGCAACAACAAAGCATTATTAACATGGCCAATAAGCAGCGAAGAACACCATTACATCTAGCAGCAAGAAACGGCCTCGTAACGGTAAGGAAATGACTCATTGTATTTAAGTAATTGTTTTAGAATTGTAAGAACACTCATAGGAATTTATTTTCCACAGGTAACACGACGTTTATTGCAATCGGGTGCAAGTGTCGTTGCTGTCGATGCAGAAGGACTCACACCTGCATTAGCTTGTGCTCCGAATCCGGCTGTAGCACGATGTTTAGCCACCATTCTTGCTGCACATGGTGCGTATATTAATCTTCCCAATTCTCAATTTTTAGTTCAGGATTTGTCATAAGTTATTAGTCAATCATTACCATAGGTCAAAATTGGGAAGCTACACAACATTCACCGTCAATTCAACAAACATCAGAAGTATATTTAAATGGCAGAAGTGGTGATTCACAACACAGTTCAGATTCGGAGTTTTACTGACAGCAGGCATCACGCTTAGATCATCAAGCGTTTCAAAATTTAAACGTCGATTCAATGCACGGAAATATTGATGCAGCAAGATTAATTTGG